TCCCCAGGGCAGTGGGCACGGCCCCAAGGCTGCCAGAGCTCCAGGAGCGTTTGGACAACGCTCTGAGGGACAGGGTGGGATTGTTGGGGTGTCCTGGGCAGGGCCAGGGGTTGGACTGATGACCCTTGTGGTCCCCTCCAACTCAGCACATTCCATGATTCTGGACTGAATCCAGCTGATCTGTCACAGCTCCAGGGGTGGCAGCAGGGCAGAGCAGACACTCACATTGTCGTGGCTGAGCATGACCCCCTTGGGCTGCCCCGTGGTCCCCGAGGTGTAGATGAGGGTGCAGCACTGGTTGGGCTTCTGCGCCGCGATGGCCAAGTGGAGCAGAGTGTCTGGGACATCCCTGCCCAGCTCCATGAACTCACTCCACTGTGCAGAGAAGAGAAGAGCTCCATCACTTTGTGATCTTTCATGTGAAAAATTAAACTCTTTGCTACACATGAAGAGAAGGAAGCCATTCCCTGTGTCCAAGCCTCTGGAAGATATGCACTGCCCCACACTGTTTTCTGGCTGCCACAAGAGAAGCAGAAAGACCCATCCTGAGCAGCTTTCCAGCTCTGTAGTAATCCTGGTACTCACTGGAGTAACTGTGGGACCCAGGGCTGCCTTGCAGAGGTTGGTAATCCAACACCCTCCTTAGAGCAGGGATTATCCAGGTTTGCACAACAGCTCCTGCCCAGTGGGGCAGGCAATCCCTCACCACGGCCAGCACGAGCTCATGGGATCACAGCCACTGAATCCCACACTAGTTTGGGTTGGAAGGGACCTTAAAGACCACCTCATTCCACCCCCTGCCACAGGCAGGGATGTTTAAGCTCCCATGGAAGGTGACAGGTACTTGGAGACATCACCTGAACACAACCAGGACTTAGAAGCCATGAAGATGCCCAGGACTTACCGAGTACAGATTTGGTCTCTTCTCCTTTATCTCTTCCCCGTACTGGACAATGGCCTTCAGCTGAGGTAGTCTATCCTCAATCTGTGTTAAGAAGGGAGATTCATGAGAAGGAGCAAATCCTGCTTTTCCCTTCCAGGCCACACAACCCACCACTTGACATGCTCCTGCTATTTGCCATTTTATGTAAAGCCAAGAGAATCCCATCTCTGCTACTGAAATAACAGGGAAGCCTCACTAGAAACTCATAATTTGAGCTGGGATGTTGCCAGACATCCTAGAGGCTGCTTAATTGTTCATTTTGGCTTCTCAAGGCTTTAAGAAGGGAAACCACCACTTCACCTCTTGTGAGACTCAGTACCAGAGAGAACCCATCGCCAGGCACCAAGAAGGCTCAGCCAGTTCACCTCTGCTTTCAGAGCCAGCACTCCCCTCTGGTATTACCCTCCCACAGCATTTACCCTCCCACAGCTGTCAACAGGATGCCGTAACCCCCAGACATCTGAAAACCAGAATTACTTCTAAGATTTTCTGCAGCTGTTTCTGGTTTTCCACCACTATAACATCAGCACTGCAGTTCTCTGCCACATAGTGACAGGCCTCGGGAGAGTTTGTTGTGTAGATCCCAACAGCAAATCCCCTGCAAGGGAAGAGGGGGAAAAAACAAAACAGAAAAGCAAAACACAGAATTAGAGGACAAGAAGAATTGCTGGCAAAATTCAGACCTTTTCAGAGGAAAAACTTTGAGAAGAATATCCCATAATATGACAAGAAAAAGTGGAGGGTTTAATTCCAAGAGCAAAGGCTCTGATGTGGGGCATGGGAAATGTCAGAGTGGTGTAAGGGTCCAAAATGTCTCAGATAGAAGGAAGATATCAAAATCCAGCCCTGGGATTCTCTGGCATTTCCCATCATATTTTTAATCACAGTATATATAAGAAATCTTTTGGATTAACCTACTGGTCATCTTATTTTGAGAGAAGCATTTGGCTAAAAACAAAAATAATAATTTTTGTCTCATTAATTCATTCTGAATTAAGTTGAGGTTGTAGTTTCCTTCATTATATTAAAATACAAACAATTGGGTTTGGGGTTTTTTTGTGGTTGGTTTAGTTGGGGGGTTTTAATCAAAACCTGCTTCTCATGGGGATACTGCAATTACTGAGTGCCAAAATTCACGGCAAGAGACAAGACTTGTTCTTACCCTGCAAGGATTGCTCCAATGTCAGCAATGAACCACTCAGCAGAATTAAATCCCAGGATGCCCACTCCATGGAAACGCTGCAGCCCCAGCTGTAAACAAGAGATGGAATTACAGCACTCTTGGTTTTCCTTCGAAGAAAGCTCAGAGTTAATTTACAGATCTCTGCTGCAAACACAGAGGAGAGAGTTTGTGTTGTTGGATAGGGTGATTCCCACTGAAAAACTTCCCAAAAGCCAGGATGGAACCAGTTAAGTTCCACATCAGGCACTGTCCTGCTATCAGTGGGAAGGAAAAAGGGATTTGCGGAGCTCTGTGCTTGGAATGCCTGGCTCACTGACACCAATACAAACCTGCAATCCAGGGAGTTCTCAGTTCCCTCTGGAAGGAGAAGAGGTGAAGTTAAATAACACCTCCTGAGACATTTAATATGGTTGGATATATCAGATATCAACAGTGACAAGAGCAACAAGCTCCAGTGACAGTCAGAGACATTTTGGGATGAAATTTCAGCTGGAGAAGTCCCAGTCTTTAAATCTCCCTCGGGTTTTGTCCCAGACTGGAAGATCCCACCACGGGAGTGAGACCAGGGTGACCATAACCTGAAGCAGCCAGACTTCATCACAACAGTAAGAACACAGTGTGTCGGTTTCCCTCTCTGTCTCAATCCCAACAGCACAGGCAAAAGGCAGGGCCAGATGGGACATTTAAGGCTAGTTCACCAGCATCCCTTCAAATTTTGAATTTGAAAGATTAACATTTCTAAGACTCTGGAGGTGCAGTGTCCAGGTTTGCCTCAAAACTTCAAACACCTCACTTTATATGTTTCCTTAAATGCCTTTTTTGAAGTTGAATGTGGAAGCAACTTGCAATAAATTCAGACAAAACCCCTGTGGGAAGTACCAAGGTGCCCATGGCATGTTCAGGTACTTCGCTGTCACTGAAAGACTCATCTACACTCAGAGAATCTGCAGGTTTAAAATACAATTAACTACAGCCATTCCAGCACTTAAATGAGTGAACATTAAACTGACTTTTTACACAGTGGTAGGACAAGAGGGAGCAGTTTTAAACAAAAAGAGGACAGATTTACATTAGATATTGGGAAGGAATTCTTCCCTGTGAGGGTGGTGGGGCCCTGGCACAGGTTGCCCAGAAAAGCTGTGGCTGCCTCATCCCTTCAAGCGTCCAAGGTCAGGTTGGATGGGACTTGGAGCAACCTGGGCTAGTGGAAGGTGTCCCTGTCCATGACAGGAGGTTTTATGAGATGAGCTCTAAGGTCTCTTCCAACCCAAACCACTCTGTGATTCAATGAATATGAACAAGAGCTCAACAAAAACTCACCTTCAGAAAGCTTTTTGCTGCTTTACAGCACTCATCATAGTACATTTTGTATGTTAGTTTGACCCACTGGCCACCTTTTTTGGATGCAAGGGCATAATAGTCCCCATATTTATTGACAGTTTCCTGGAAGAGCTGGTGAACAGTCTTTGGTGGTTCACTGCCTATTCCCTGGTCTTCCATCCTCAGCTTGACCTCCCCATCCCGATGTGTTGTCCACACTCTAGAGGCAGGAGAGGAGGAGGCTGCTTGGAAAGAAAGGGTTCAGCATCTTAGGTTTTGACATTTCTTGCTGCCGTGACAGAAATATAAATCCAAGTATCAAGCACACAATAGTAGATGTTGTTATACCCCTCTCACACCCCTTTTTTGACCTTTTCCTCTTGGCAAGTTTGCCACAGGACCCCCAGTATTTTGGACTGGGAGCCTCTAAAGCACTTTGAAATTTTGTTAAACATTTCCTCTAACCCGCTCTTCTGCTTGAAAGCTCTTGCACTGTAAGGTGGCAACTTCCTCCAGCATATACTCTGCTATTTTTAATTTTTTTTTTCTTTTAAGGAGGACTGAAAGCAGGACATTGGTATCTGACACTATTTATTTACTCCTCAAAGCACAACTGTGCTTCAAAGTCTAAGTTCAAGGCACTTCTGGACAGCCTATCCTGCACCCTGAGCTCCTTCTTCCATCCTTATGGTTGGATAAATTCCTCTCTCATTCCAACAATAATTTTATGCACATCACAGTGACCAAACTTCTCCCCACTCACCTTTGGGATCAACTGAGTCCAGCTGGTGTCTCTCCATGTTGGAATCTTCCCCTGGCTCGATGTTGTGGGGCTCAGGAGTTCTGCAAGGCAAAAGCAGTTATCCCTGAATGAGCACACTGAGGGCAGGTTTGCTCCATCACTTCATTTCACTAAATCCTTAGATGTTGAAGTGGCTCCTGATCTCCTGCAGGTGACTTTATCAATCCACTACCCTGCATGGCTCAGGTCCCTCAGAGTGCGCAAGGTTTGCCTAGGCTGGTTTTGAACACATGGATATTGCCCTAATTGCAGCTTTCATTGCAACCCATAAACTTATCAGCCCCAAAACAGCCATCATGTAACTCCAGAGGTCTGTTCCAGGTGCCTGAAACAAAGAATCTGCAGCTGGGAGGAGGAGGAGGGGGGGTGGGTAGGAAGGGCCACATGGATCTGGTGCTCATCTCCTCTCTGCAAAATGAGTTCAACAACAAGGAGGCCCCAGGGCATGCCTCAAGTCACCCTGTGCAAAAACCCACGGAGGTTTCCTGCAGAAGAGCAGGAAACCGATTTCACAGGAAATCTTGTTCTTGTGTATTCCTAATAAAGCCATTGGGCTCCCACCAGATGTCTGTGAAGGAATGGGAACAGGCACATCCCATGTACTCCAGCCACGCTCCTCCCAGTCATCCCTTTTCCTTCCAGCCCTGCAAGACCTGGTGAAGCACCACTTGCCCCTGGTTGCAAACCAGTTTTCTTCCTCCAGCCCTTTCCAAGAAGGACTTTCTCACAGCCCTAATGATAAGGATATGGCATAATCAAGTTGCATGTGCCACTTGAGACCATGAGCTGGAAGCCAGACCCTGTGAGATTTGGGATTTGGTCCCTAGAAGGACAGCCTACCCTCCAACCAGGCAGCTGATGCTTGTTCCCCTGCCCTGGGCAATACCCTGCCTGGACCATCAGCATAGCCCTAAATCCAAGTTCTAGCTGACCCAAGATTATACTCCAGAGACCCAAAATTTCCATCTTGCCTTGCCCTACCAAGGCCCTTTTTTTCAGGCCATCACGAAGGTGTTTCACCAGGCCAGTGCTCGGTGTTTGCTCTTCCCCATGACAACATTTGGTTGTAGCCCCAGCTCCAGGGTGTTCTGGAAGGGCTGCAGGGCCCTGACATCACAATAACCCCAAAACTCTGTAGGACAGCTCTGGGGCAAAAAGGAGCAGACAGGTGGGAGCTCCTCTGCTCCCACACAAATTCCTCAGGCTAATCCAGGCAGGGATTCCACTGAACCCCACATTTTATTCCCTTTCTACCAGATCAGAGACAAGGCAAGTCAGCACAGCCACTATGAGAATTTCAGTGTAAGGGGGAAATTCCTTCCCTCTGGCTTATGCTTGCTCTGATTTTCTAGGAAATAGTCAACTGTTACCGCTTCGGGAATATAAGATTTAAGGCACAGAGAAGACCTGACATGGCTGATCCCATGTACTGTCCAAAAGCAGAACTGCTTCCCTGAACTAGTCTCCAAGCCAACAACCAGAGCTGAGTAAACACTGTTTTTTTATTTCCCCCAAAGGGATTATAAGATGTTCCCTCCTCATTATCGAGAACATTTTTCAGCACAAATTAATCCTCAGTAGCAATAGTTCTGCACCATTTCTCCACCAGCTTTTATGATCAAAGCATGCAAATGACCCAGTAATATGAGCAAAAAAGCCCCAGCTATTTCTCTCACAGTCAATCAAGTCATCTTTTTTCTCCCCCTTATGACATGTAATTCAGTGTAGCCTGAAAAAATTTAGGTAAAGAGGTTTTATTCAGCTAGATCCCATTATGCTGTGGGGAGATATAGACCCTTAAATACTAATCTGCTCTTCAGTCTGTAAATCTAAGCAGCCTCTTAGAGGAGTTTCGTGGAGATCAGTGTAGGCACCACACACGAGCTGTCCCCTGCAGAGGCTCTTCCAAAATGATTTTAATTAATCTAAGTAAGATTAGAATACAAACTATGTACACAGATTAAATAAAACCTTAAATTAGACACACCTGGGTGAAGAGTTGAGCAGTACATCACTCAGTGACACCTCACAGTTCCCTTCTGGAGCTGAATTACAATAAGCCATGGGGACTGGTTCAGCGAGTGCCATCCGTGCCTCTGACTCACACAGCATTGTCCCTGCGAAAACAGGTTTTAACAATTAAAATACAACCAAATTCTACGGTAAATCAGCTTCAGTCGATGCAGCTACACGAGAGAGGCAGCCCCAAAGAGGTACAACTCGAGCCTGCATGAAGCACGGTAAATTCTGACAGCGGACGCCGCCACTGTTAATTTAAAAACCTGCTGAAACCTCCACCCTGCACCAAAAACAGCGTGACACCCACAGCTCTGAGAGAGCCCAACGAGTCAGACAATTTAAATTCACACTCCCTGTGCCCCAAAACGCTCCCGCTCGGCTCCCAGCCCCCCCACCCCACCCCGCAGAGCTCCATCCTCACAGCGCATCGCCGTCCCGCAGCCTCCGCTCCGCACCGGCGCCGAGCCCGACGTGGAATAGGCTTTATTTTTAAACTAGCGCCCAGGAGGCAGATCTGGAGCATCTTATGTCATGTGCTGCTGCCTCGCAATTGGAAGCGGCTCGTCACCCCACACCGCCGCCTCTTAAGGAGGCTCTGGCCCCACGCCCGCCTCAACCCCGGCACACCGGGGATTTCGGGTCCCTCTCCGGGGACACAGCCCTGGACACCCTAGATTTAAAAAGTTCTCATAAAAACGAGCGGTTTTGCAGCTATTTTTCTGGCGGCTCCTACGGTTCTTTTAGCACTTCGTCTCGGGGGATTTTATCACCTAAACAAAAGTGTTTTCTTAAACGCTGATTCGATTTAAGGTTTCCATTCATCGGAAGCCTTTGACGCTTATGAGTTGCCAGGCTGAGCTTTAATTGTTTCAAGGGATTTCAAGCTGATTGGAGACGAATCTTATTATCCCTGATCTCTTTAAGAAGTAGATTTTCAGCTGCTATTTTGTATCCGCATTAGACAAACGCGTTTAAATCGGGTGATGCGAAGAGCGCGTTTGCATCAATGACAGGAGCGAAAGGAAAGAGCCCTTTTAATAAATCAGAGCCAGCCACGCTGCAGTCTCTGACGGGAGGGAAAAGTCACGCTAGGCACAGCTCAGAGCCCTGGAAAGCACGTCCCCCTTTCCGCTTACTCATCTGAGCAAGACACGTCGCTGCTCACGCCACGCTCTGCTCCAGCCACGCCAGAAATAGTTTAATTCACCGGCAGCTGAGACAGGGATGTCTCAAAAAAATACCCCAGCTCTGAAGCGCCGAGATAACCGGCAGATGTTGCCCAACACCCCCGTTCTAGGCTGAAACAGCAGAGCAGTTTATTTGGGGGGAGTTATGAGCTGTGAGAAGAGGGGGGTTATCTCTGCACAGACCTGCCCAACCTGGGGCAGTTCCCAGCCCGGAGGAGCTCAAACCCACATGTGGGAGAGCACAATGGATCCCAGACTTCTCGGTGCCACCACGGCCCCTCTTGCTCAAGGAGAAATCGAGCACAAGCCCAGGAGGGACAAACCCCACGGGGCCTGACCCCCTTGTGCAATTCTGCACCCACCAGCACCCACAACAAGGGGTTCAGGGCTCCCCTGTGGCCCTGGAGGAAGCTTTGGCCTCCACACTAATTACAGTATTCCTCTGGCTGGCTGCTTTTAATGCAGCAACAGAGTTTCAAGGGTAAACCGGTGTTCTCACTCCAGCTGTCACAGAATCATTGAATCCTAGAATGGTTTGGGTTGAAGGGACCTTAAAACTCATTCCATCCCCTGTCATAGGCAGGGGCACCTTCCACCAGACCAGGTTGCTCCAAGGCAACCTGACTTGGACAGACAGCTGAAGTGCCACCTGGTTGTGCAGATTTCCTTGAGAACACAGCGATCCCAAACCAGTCATGCATTTTAGACAACAAATTTAGGTTAGAAACAAAAATTTCCCAATATACACTCCCTAGCTCTGCTCAGCTCTGCAGCTCGGTCCTCCCCTCCTTGATGCTCAGTTATAAATACAAGCCACTGGAAAACACACGTGTTTCAGGATTGGAACTTTAAGGTCCCTTCCAACCCAAACCATTCCATGGTTCACCAGAGCCAGGTGTAACCCCTGGGGCAGATCACCAGGATGGGATCAGAACGATTCTCTCCTGGACACACAACAGCCCCCCATTGTTCCCACAGCAGTTAACACATCGTGATGTCCCACAGATGTTCAGGAAAGTGGAGAACACACACCCAAACAAAAACCCGCGGCAACAAACCTCCCTTTTAATTAAACCTGCGTGACTCCTTAAATCATTTAAATACAAAACACTTTGTGCTTTGAGGGAGCACCCTGTCCCAAAAGAACTGGAAGTTGAATGGTTTCTATTGAAACCACTGCAGAGCTTGAATAAAAGTCTGACAATGTGCAAGCTCCCGGCAGGAGAAGAGGTTTCATTTATAACATGCTCTGATTTTTGTGTGTATGGAGATTGTATGGCCAGTCTTCGCGAGCGAAGATTTGGGAAAGGTCTTTACCCTTCGAGCCTGCGCAGTGGATTTTTTAGGTGAGACACAGCGTGCGCTGAACTGAGCCCACCCTTTAATCCTAAAGTTCATCTGCCGGGGCCGAGCAAGCTTGGACAGTGGTAGTGAGGTCCTCAGAACGTAGGTTTGTTTAGAGTGACCTTCTCTTAGATGGATGGCCTTACAGGGCTGACGAGCTCCATCTGCCCGGGGGACTTTTTCCCTGACCGGGAATCAAACCTGGGCCGCAGACCTTTACCTAAAACACACAGAGAGCTTCAACAACATCAGTTCAAATTCAAATTACTGAGGGTGTTATCAGCCTTTGACATTTTCCAGCACAGCTCACTCGGTTTCCTGTGGCTGATTTCTTCTAACTGGTACAGACACCACATCCACCCCGCTCAAGACTTCACCGCCCAGAGCAGTTTTAGGCAACTGCCACCTTATCTTGCTGCCTTTCCACATCTCCACCAAAACTCCGACCTTGCCCTTTTTGCTCCTTTGTCTCCTTTCAAGATTTATTAAGTGAGGAAACAGAAGCTGAGCAACCCACTCTTCCTCTTTTAGATAAACTCCATTTTTAGCAAGGGCAGCCACAAAAACTTCCTGAGCACTAAAGGTTTTTGTCTTCAGCACTGGTCGTGCTGGGGAATTACCTGATGCTGGAGAGGAGGGAGCACGAGGAAAAGTAACTCCAAGCTCTCTGAGGATGATGAGTGACTGTCAGGACTGCACACAGACACTTCACTCCACCACAGCACCTTCAGAGCTGAGCTTTGGCTGAAGGGAGCTGCCTACAGACCCAGGGTAGGGCACTGATGGCACCAGAACTGTTTCTCAGCCACCCAGACAAGCACAGAACTCTCAATTCCGTGCAGATTGCTTCTCCAGGACCCCGGGATGTTTCAGGTGGATTCCACAGCAATGTGACTCACCAGGAGGCTGCTCCGAGTTCCTCTTTCCTACAGAGCTGTTTGCTTTACTGCACCATCTGCACAGCAGGTGGGAATTCCCCTCTAGAGGAGGACGAGAGCACAGGGATGTAGGAAAGCACAGGGAAGTGTTTCCAGGGATACATCAGCTGTGTTTCTGCCACTGCCACACATGGCATTGTATCTGCTGGAAGCTCAGGAGGGCTGGGAGCCAGCGCAGGAGCATCCCAAGCACTCAGGTCACCGCATGGAGTATCTCCAAGTGCCCAGGTCCTTGCATGGAGCATCCCCAAGCACCCAGGTCACCTTAAGAAGCATCCTCAAGCACCCAGATCACCTCACAGAGCATCACTGAGTGCTCAGGTCACCTCATGGACCATCTCCAAGTGTCCAAGTCAGTGCATGGAGCACCTCCAAGTGCTCAGATCACCCCACAGAGCACCCCCAAGTGCCCAGGTCACCTCATATTCCCTCGATGGGCACAGGTGACATGTGGAAGGGACAGACCTTCTCCTCGGACCACCCATTGCCTCAGCCCACAAGGTTACCCCCAACCCGAGTGGGGGGTTACCCCCAATCCGCCCTGGGCTTATTTAACCAAAAATCCCCCAAAAAACTTCACCCCCACTCCCCAGACACCCACCCGCGAAGGGACGTTAGGAGCAGCCGACACAAGAAAGGCGAATCCCACAGCCAAACCCCCGCCACGGGTGGGCTCGGGCCACGCATCCCACCCGCACCGAGCCCCGCTGAGGACACCCAGAGAGCCATCATACACACATACACAGATACACAGACACACTTAGCCCGCAGGCCCCTCCCTGCACCCCCGGCGCGGGCTTTAGGACGGCGGTCGGGCTTTAGGACCGCGCGTTACCTCAGGGCCCGGCGGGAGCGCGCGCGCGGCAGCAGCTCGTGAGGCGGCGCGCGCGCCGGGCGGGGCCCCTTTAAACCTGCCCCGCCCCGCCCACGGCCTTGATCGGAAGGCGCCATTGGGTGAAGCCGCTGTCAGTAATGGCGATGTCCCGCCCATACCAGACGCACAGCTGCACTATTGGTTCAAGAGGGCTGTCAGTCACAGCGAGGCCACACCCCCCGTGGAGATGCGCGCATCGCCGCTCTATTGGATGAAGCAGCTGTCGATTACAGTGAGGCCCCGCCCCCTCGGGGTTACCCGCGGTCGCTGCTCCGGTGGCGAACGGGGACAGGCGTGACCAGGACACCGGGAATGGCCTGTCCCGGGGTGCAAACGCAGCCCTGCTCACCGATCCGCGCTGTGCCGGACAGGGGGGAGCTCTGCAACGCCCGCGGCGCGCTCATGGTGTGCGGGAGCGCGGCAGAGGGTTTTGGGAAAGCGAAGGAAATAGTCCAAATCCCTCTGAAAGGTGGTTTTCTGATTGGATAGTAGGGAAAATTTCTTCATCAAAAGACTTGTAAAGCATTGGCAGAGGCTGCCCAGGGCAGTGGTGGAGTCACCATCCCTGGAGATGTTAAAAAAACGTGGATGTGGCACTTGGGAACAGGGTTTAGTGGTGATCACAGCAGTGCTGGGTTGACCATCTGAAAGGTCCTTTCCAGCCTTAAGGCTCCTGTGATTCTGTGAAGAACAACTATTTTCAAAGGTGGCCCTGAGCTACAACAAGCCTTTGACCAAATGAAGCAGAAGATGGATCACACAAAAGCTCTGGGGCCACCCCAGACAGGACAAGATGTAGAAAATGTGCTGTAAGCACAGTTGGGGGAATGGCCTTACCTGGAACCTATAGCAGAAAGCTCCAGGGGGGACTCCAGGTTGACCCCTTGACTTTCAGGATTAGGGATACAGCTGTACTTCACTCCAGGAGGGAGCAGTGTGGAGGCTGGCAGAGCACAGCCCCAAACAAACCCGCCCCACACTGTTGTTTTCCAATCAGCACAAAGGAAGGACAGGGCTGGAACTGCTGAACAACACCACAGGCACAAGTTCTGGCCATGGTGGCAGCAGGACACCTGGGGAAGTAGACCTGGGGAAGAACCTGTGCTCTGGGGGCAGCTCTGCCATCTCCTGCCCTTCCTGGGTCCTAATTATTTAAACTGGAGCCCAACAACACATATTTTTTAATATATTTATACATTTATAATATATATTAATATATATTCTTGATATTTATTTTTAATGGTTATGATCAGGAGGATTAGCTAACTGTTCTCAGTCATTTCTGGCTGATAAAACTGGAGAAAAGCCACGATTTTTTTTATCCTCTTGGGAAAACAGCTGTATCCCTCAAATGAATTATTGCTGCTGTTTTGCTGGTGCAGACCAAGAATTCTTAAACATTGGGGTTTTTTCCTGCAAATTCTTCTCTCCTTTCCCCCATTCTCCCTTCACGAGGGGTGGGGAGGGTTCAAGCCATTCAGCTGATGAGCAAACCTAAGGAATATGTAATTAGGGAAGCTCCTGCCAGAAGGTCAGGGCTGCAGCTGGAGCAGATGCAGGTCCAGAGGACAGAGCAGTGCTGGGGATACTGCAGCTGTAAAACAGCATGAACACAGTGAGATGGTGATTCCAAGGAAGCCTCAGCACCTCTGAGTTCTTGCTGGGTCAGCTGTTTGCCATCTCCTGCAGTCTGAGCCTTCCCTGGCAGCTCCTCTGTGTTCCCCTCTCTCCTCTCCTCCTCTCTGCAGCCTCTCCAGAAACACAGAATATTCTGAGTTGGACCCACAAGGATCATCGAGTTCAGCTCTTAAGTAAATGACCCATATGGGGATCAAACACCTTGGTGTTATCAGCACAAATCCCTTTTGTGGCTCTGTTTCAATTCAGATGGCAAATTTATTTTGAAGGGCAAAAGTACGAACAGCAGCCTGAAAGTTGGTGAAATCTGTAAAATTCAGACTCCTGCCTCTTGTCTTGGTCCTCGGCCAGCACCTGACTGGGGGCACGTTATTCCCAGTGAACCAAGGAAAGATCCAGGGGCGCAGCCCAAAGGTTAACTGAAGTGGCAGGAGTAACCAGTTCTATTTTTGGAGATTCCCTGAGCCAACAAATTACCTTGGACGAGCTGCTTTTTTTGTGCTTCCCGTGTTCTTGTCTGTCAACTGAGGTTGCATCACTCCCAAGGTAGATCCCATGGTGTTTGCTAAACTCCTGCTGGTTTTTGGACCAGAGGGGACCACATTGATGGGGAAGGACCAGGTAAGAGCAGGGATGAGCACAGGTGGTCCTCAGGCAACGCTTCCACAGGCAGGAGAGGGGCTGTTTCGCTGCCTGTGGGGATCAGTTGATACCTTGTGGTTATTGACTGGTAAAAGCTCAGTCCTTTACAAACAAACATGGAGTTGTTAAGCTCGAAATAGCAAATCCAGCCACTCCGGTCAAACAGCACCTTTGCTGGCTCTGTATTTACCAGGAATTAACTCGAGTGGAGTCCTAGAGTTCTTGTTTTCCAAGACAACAAAAGCAGGGTGGCCTGAAGAGCTCCAGGAAAGGGAAGAAACCAGTCTCAGCAGAGGTTGGGAGTCACCTATGGAGAGCAACTTTGTGGAGAAGGACCTGAGGGTCCTGGTGGATGGCAAGTTGACCATGAGCTGGAGGAGGGCCAGTGGGATCCTGGGGTGCATCGAGAAAAGCATTGCCAGCAGGTCAGGGAGGGGATCCTGTCCCTCTGCTTGGCCCTGGGGAGGAACATCTGGAGTGTTGTGTCCACCTCTGGGCTCCACAGTTCAAGAAAGACAAGGAGCTTCTGGAGAGGGTCCAGTGGAGGCCACAAAGATGATGAGGGGTCTGGAGCACCTCTCTGATGAGGAGAGACTGCAGGAGCTGGGCCTGGTTAGTCTGGAGAAGAGAAGGCTGAGAGGGGATCTCTTCAATCCATACCAACATCTCCAAGAGCTGTCAGAGGATGGTGCCAGGCTCTCTTCAGTGGTGCCAAGAGACAGGACGAGGAGTAGCGGGCACAAACTTAACCAGAAGAAGTTCCACCTCAACATGAGGCAGAACTTCTTTCCATGGAAGTGGCAGAGCCCTGGAACAGCTTCCCAGGGAGGGTGTGGAGTCTCCCTCTCTGGAGACATTCCAAACCCACCTGGACACATTCCTGTGTCACTTGTTCCAGGTGGATTGGGAGGTCCCTTCCAACCCCAATATTCTGTCATTCTGTGAAAAGCAGAATAATATCTACTATCTGCAGAGACATTTTCAGTCTCTGGGACTTCAAAGGGAATAAAGGCTGGTTTCTCCTCTGACGCCAATGAGCAGAGGAGGAGCCCTGACCTGTGTGTGCTCCCTGCCAAGGTCAACATCCAAGGCAGAGCTGGGTATTTCACAGCAAAGGAGCAGAGAAATGCAGTGTCTCAGTGTTTGGCTCTGTAAAGCTGATTAACAATAGCAATGTTGTCTAAAGGATCAGCCCACCTTTGGGTGCTAATATAGATTATCCAAATAAAATAAGTTGTCTAATACTGGTATAAAGTTATATTTTTAGTTTGATGCAGGTTTGAAGAACTGTCACATCTGCTGTCCTGAGAAAAGGCAGGTCAGGAAGAGTGAGAGGTGGGGAGGAGTTCTTGGTTACAGAGTCTGACTGTGGATCAAGCTTCCAGAAGATACTTGGGCAAAAATGGAGCATGGGAGAAATGGTGAAAATCCTAAAATCCTTCCCTTTCGAAAATACCTTTCCCTTACAGAGTCACTCCAAACACACAAAATTTCACATTACCTTTAAATTGTGCTTGTGATGCAAGAATGGGAGAGAGAAGATGGCTGCAGGTTAAGAGCCTTGAGCTTTGCTGATAACACAGGTTCAACCTCAGAGGGGGGACTGAAAACTCCACAGAATCCATGTTGTTCCTATCGGTAAACTCTATGGTGAGGATACACATAAAACCTTCAGTTAATAGTCTGCTTGGATCCCATCTGGGTTGTCCATGCCTGGGATGTTACAGCTTGTTGCCTCTGCGATATAATTCCCCTTTTCCTGAGTGCAGACACATTCCCGGAGGGCTTTAAAA